TGTAAGCGTTTTACCACTAATAATAGCGTAACATTTACTCAATGTACTACTACTACCTACTTATTTAAATATCTACTTAGGTAAGTGACCCACCCACATGTAGGTATGTCTAAAATAATAACGACAAAAAACTACTTAAGCGATTTATCTAATTTCCAGAACTTTTTAAACATACTTCGAACAACGAAGGTTAGCCCTTCCTAGTAGCTAATAAAGAAAAAACTGTCATAATATTTGCACTCAAGTTTGACCTTCGTGTGACCTCTCGCACGTGATTAAGGTCCCGAGGCGAAGCCGTACAACTGCTGAGCATTACTTTAATACCTTTCGTATACACACGAAGTCTTCGATACACACAGATGGAGTCTTCGAGGCGAAAGTTCATTTGTCGACGTCAAGACACCTACGTAGGTACTTAGAGCATTTCTTTTGAGGGAATACCTAATTCTAAATTTAATAATCTTTGCGTTTGCCACCCTTAGTAATTCTGTACGGACCCAGCCACTATCGCCAAATACCATCTTCGACGGAACAGATGGCGCTAGCGTAGCAGTCTTTTACTTTGACGTCAGAGACATCCTCCATCTTTAGTCTCCCCGTGACCACGGCTGCTGCAAAGCATCCGAAACGCCGGGCCGTAGTTAAAAATAATGTTTAAATAAGTTCAACTAATATATATCGCGTTTTAAACAGTTAGTGTTTTATTTAAATGTGTACTAGTCGCGTAAACCACAAACAGAACATAATAAATTAATAAAATATAGGTATAGCTGAGGCCTCAAAGGCAGACAAAGGGATTTAATACCAAAACGATGTGAAAGGGAAATATTTTAAATAACCCGGAAAAATAAGTATGCTTATTTTCCGGGTTTCATAATAAAATTTGTAAATCCCCTATCTGGACATTTCTTTTAATTAATTGTAGCTTCAAGCGCGAATTTCAATTTTTGTAATGGCTCCAGGGATTCAAACAATTAATTTTCTACGTTTGCAATTGTTTCTTTGTTTTTCTTTTAATTTTATAGATGGCCTGTTTAATTTTACTAAACTGACAGTGACAGCTAAAAACAGGCTATACAACGCTTAAATAAGTATAGGTACATATACGTGTTTGTTTTTTGGCCATAGAATTAGTTCTATCTTATTCCGTATGGAGCTATATTAATAGTCAAAGTCAAATTAATGTATACACATAGGTAACTAGGTACACTTATGAACAACCCACTAGTTGAAAACTAAGGACTTCAAATTTACATTTACTACCAGGTCTCAAATTAAGGGCGTAGAACGAACGAGAAAAACTGGCAAGAAACTCGCCGCACCTTCTTTTATCGCCAAGTCATTTTACAGTTAGGTACTTTAAGCGCACTTCATACTTTTTATTGTTACTTTGGGTACTCCAAACCCCAAACATTTTATCTTTTAATTATTAATTAACTTAATAATAACATTTTTTTTTTTTTATATACCTACCTACGATAAATTTATTGACAGTGCTTGCACTCCACTGGGGATTTTATTAAATTATATTAAAAATTACTACTTTTATGAAGTCTTATGGTTGGTACAGTTATGCCTTGTAACACGTATTAAGATAACATAGATAATATTAAAATAAAGTTACTAAATAAATTTGTCTATACCTACCCACAGATATAAAATGTTTACAATAATTCAACTCCGCGCTAATTTTCACCACAGGGTTGCCAGTAATAGATATTTGCTAATATAAAGTTACCTCAACATGTGGCGAGATTGCGAAACCCCTGGAGTATTTTACGCTTCGCTGTCAGGGGAGTGTGGATAATATCTGGATAACATTGAACTATCATTTTGAACTTTACTGCGTACGTAATAAAGACGATGAACAATTTCACGCTGGTAAATGAAAGTTGCACAAAAACCTATTTTGGCTAAATCACAACATGATGTCTGGAATGATTCGTCTATTCGTTTTAATATATTTTTAAGATCTATTTAAAATGTATTTTGAAGTGTCCTAGGAGATTCATAACCAATCTGTTACATAGAACTAAATAGAACCAATTCCATTAACATTTAGATCAAACGTTTAACGGTTTAAAACGTGAACATAAAAACGATGTATGTTAACTAGTATCTACGACCTAAGGTTTTTAATGTTACGGATCAAACAACCTGTAGTAATAAAAAATAAATTATTTGAGTTATTTCGCGTTTAAAACCGTTCTAAGTGTTTATAAGTACAATGGGCAAGGAAGACTTCCTTTGTACTTCAAACTTAAATAATTTACATATATCTATATTCATATTTGTCCAGATTTAAGATACTAGGACTCAAAGATTGTTACTACCAATTTAATATTATTTACAGTAATAATTTCATAATAATAAGTATATATATACATTATGCCATAAAGCGTCTAATTACTGTCTGTAGTAACGGAGGTACATGTTTAAAGAAAACACTTTTAACTGTTTGAAAACGCGAAATGTAAGGTACCTATTAGTTAAACTTATTTTATAAAACATAACTACGACACAAAATAAGTTCAAATAATACATTTCGCGTTTTAAAGCGTTAAAAGTGATTAATTTATAAGGTATCTTATAAATTAGAACTCGATTTATAGATTGAAAAAATTTACGACACGGTCAGGATCTGAGCTGGGATCCACAGCGTTCCGTGCTGTTGCTCAAGTCCTGGCCGTAAAATTTTATCAATTTAAAAATCAAGCTTTAAGTTATATAATGCCATCATGTGCAGTAACATGTGAAAAATATTAGAGTTTTCAAATATAAGGCATTAAATATAAAAATATTTGTTCGTTAACTAACCGAAGCATTCTCGAAAAACCTAACCCAAATCCCAAATATCGCAAATGAAGTATTCTTCCTAACACCGTTTCAATCTCCACTAATATATCGATCGTGTATATCGGCTGGACATTAGAGGACACAATTCTTAACATGTTAAATCACCCGGCCTCACACAAAGGACATCCGTTGCTTTGTACCTCGCGGCGCGGGACGGATAAATAAAATTACGACTCTCACTACCTTAATGAACAGGGCTTGTCAACATTTCTGCATTCCAGGTATGTTTGAGGGTCTATTAAATTGTATTTTGAACATTAGACCAAACATGTTGTTAAAAAGACATATGTATAAGATTTTTTATTTTTTTTGTCTACGACCCGATGTTTCGATCTCAGCTAAGTCGTGGCGGTCGCTGTTTTAATGAATTAAAAATTAGTTTATATAACATATTACAAATTTAATATATTAACGGTTTGAATGATATCCGTGTCTAGAAGGGTATCAACATGTTTTTACACATTTTAATATCCTAACTAAATTTGAATTGTTTTAGGTTGAAAAGGTTTCTTTATAGAATTCACCTGTCATTGTTTTTAAAAATATATCTCATATAGTAGATTAAAAATAAACATTGTATGGTAAGGTATTTAATTGGTAGGTAGGTCCTAATCTAATGACTTTGTTAGGGTCTTTTTAGTATTAAAACTGACGCAACATTGAAACAAATCAAAGATAAGACATGTCTATATACCATTAATTTCAAAGAAGGATAATAAAAAAGGCTCTCAACCCCGCAGCCGGGCTATAGATAATAAATTAAACATCCTTTCAGCTACCGTGCGCTCCGCGGGCTTAATCAAAGAGATTTATTGCCAGCCTTAAAAAATATATAAATTACGGCAATTTGTTCAAATTAAACACAAACAGGTTTTATATCGCCAAAAAATACAATTTCGTGTAGAGCAGTAGCGCTTACGTCAGTTTTTTAATAATCTAGATTTAAAATATATAATATGTAAATTGGAATTTCTCATCATTATTGAAGTTTGTAGTTTACGCAAGGAACACATTGCATAATACAATTATATATAATAATACAAATTACATAAATCCATAGAAACCGTATTTACCTAAATATCACGGCTTTTTCACATGTGGACGGTGGTTTGTAACCCGGACGGACCTTCGATATTCCTAGCACGCATTTAATATTCAGATTTCCTGACGAAATCCAATACGTTGTTCAGGAAAATTATAAGACGAGACCGCCAAAACTTGTGTTATATAAGTTTTAACTACGACCTCTTACGCATTACAACTTACAATAGTCGTGAGCCGCGTTGTTAAAAGTAAATGATTTATAAATATGTTACGCGTTTGAAGCCGTTTAAAATCTTTTATGGTAGGTAAGGAGAACTGATTGTAAGTGCCGGTTTCTTACGTAAAAAAAAACGTTTTATATGTACTTATATCTTTATTGAATTATCCATAAAAAGCTATAGACATGTTGAGACTATTAACTATTGTGTATTCTTGACGACGCTGAGAAAATTTCTAAAAAAAAAAGAAACATTATATAGGTAATCATAATGACATCTGGTAATAAAATCATTTCAAAATGAAAGTGAGATCTTGCCTTCCCTAAGTGGGGTACGGGACAGACCATACAGGATCATGTTTATTCCTTCCACACAATTTATATTTTTTCCCCGGCTCAGAAAAATCATGAAATTCGTGTGACGTACTTTATGGATGACCCCTAATGGAGGCTAGGCTTCTTTTCCAATTAAAATTTACCTAGAACATGTATTGTTGAACATCTAAGAATCGTCTGTAGTTCACGCGACAAGTCAACATTTAAATAAAACCACTTTTGACGGTTTAAACCAAACATGTATAATTAAATTAGAATTACTTGAATTTAATAATAACTGTACCTATTTAAAATAATTAGCTAATATGTTAATACGGGCTCTAAACCATTAAAAGTGCTTTATTAATGTGTACGTAAGTGGTCAACATTGCATCATTCAAGTAAGACATACTTACCTACTTAATATTAAAAAACGCGAAATGTATTAGTTGACTTATTTAATTAATTTTGTTTAAGTACACTAATACCAGTTTACCGTTAAAGTGATTTATTTAAATCTTGTTTTCAGCAAAGCGTTTACCGATCTTCGGAGGTGGTGGTGGTGGCTTTACCTGATAACTTGTGGTAAATCTCTGGCTTCACACAAGTCATTGTGTCCTTTATCGAAGACGTGCATTTGTAATGGTCCTCCCCCCTTGGCTCGCGACCGGGCTACGCAGTCATGAAGCTATATTCATTTTTTAAATTTTATTTAAATCTTTATTTAATCACCAAAGGTCGTTTGATCACCAGTTGTTACAACTGTTATAGGACATTGAACATCTGAATATTAAATAGGTGGTAGCAATATCGAAATTCCACCATAGGCATGTCCACAGATGAAAAAGCCGTCAATATTAATCGCGTTTCGGTTTCAATGTGTGGAATTCCGAATATCCAAAATCAAAATAGGTCGGCAGTGCATCTTGCTTCGATGTTTAAGATAAGCCCCTGTCTGTCCTAAAAAAATATCAAAGCATCCGGAAATAAAATCTTACCTTTATAGCCAGCTCATAGGGTACGATTCTGTCTCCCTTCGAGTGTAGTATGAGGATAGGAAGACCAGGTACTCTGGACAGGTACTCGTCAGTCGTAAAGGAGTATTCTGAGGAGCTGCTAAACGGCTTTATGAATGAACGCTTGTAATATGGCAGCCAGGCGACGAGCTAAAAGGCATAGCATATGTAAAAAAAAATTCATGTATGTTTAAGCTGTACATTGAGCTGTATGTATGCATTTTTATCTCCAATTATATTTCTCGAATTATAGATGAAGATATCAATTTAAATATAAATCCACACAGATACTAAGAATATCAAGAATGATAAAAAATAATTATATAGGAAGTAAAGCTCTAAATACTGTCTATAGTTTACGCCAGTAGTACACATTTAAATAAAACACTTTAACGGTTTAAAACGCGATATATTAGTTAAACTTGTGGTCTCCCCGTGACCACGGATGCTGCAAATCCGAAACGTCGGCCGAATTAAAATCATTTTCAAATAAGTTTAACTAATATATCGCGTTTAACAAAGTTTAAAGTGTGCTCTATCTAAAACTAAAGCTTACACACTAGCGTAGTACTGCAGTTTACGCGAGTAGTATATACTTAATAAAAACAACTTTAAAAATCGAAATGTAGGTATTAGTTAACTTATTTACACTAACACACGAAAGGGTTTTTTATTTGAACTTTCAAATTTCATCAGTAGGTATTCATAGATTACTCCTACGGAGAAAATTTAGTAAAAAAATCTGCACTTTACCTCCAGGTGGTAAGGAAACGAGTTACCTTAGAAAACGGATGCTTCTCGATTTCATCGAGAAGATTGTTGAAGGGGGCTTCAAGGACCAGTGCATCGGGAGCCGGTACACACTTCTGACGATTATTTCGACAGAGGTCTAGCATATTGGCCACCAGGTTTGAAGCGATAGCAGTACCTGGAACACAATTCTAACTTAGTGAGCTAAGATACGCTGATTTTTGTCAAGTCGGTTTCGTATGCAATTTGTGATTGAGTCTACGGGGGAGAAGTGGTACTAAGATCACTTGAATTTAAAATGAAACCATTAAGGTTTTATTTTGCAGCACGGAACGCCGACGAAATGCCTATCGTATATATACCTAGGTATATAATTGATTATTACATATGCATTACAATATGCTAGCATATTGGCCATCAGGTTTGAAGCAATAGCAGTACCTGGAACACAATTCTAACTTAGTGAGCTAAGATACGCTGATTTTTGTCAAGTCGGTTTCGTATGTAATTTGTGATTGAGTCTACGGGGGAGAAGTGGTACTAAGATCACTTGTATTTGAAATGAAACCATTAAGGTTTTATTTTGCAGCACGGAACGCCGACGAAATGCCGTATCGTATATATACCTAGGTATATAATTGATTATTACATATGCATTACAATATGCTAGCATATTGGCCATCAGGTTTGAAGCAATAGCAGTACCTGGAACACAATTCTAACTTAGTGAGCTAAGATACGCTGATTTTTGTCAAGTCGGTTTCGTATGTAATTTGTGATTGAGTCTACGGGGGAGAAGTGGTACTAAGATCACTTGTATTTGAAATGAAACCATTAAGGTTTTATTTTGCAGCACGGAACGCTGTGGATGCAGTATCGTATATATACCTAGGTATATAATTGATTATTACATAACTGCGTAGATACCTAAAGAATGTCCCCAAAGAATTACGAAAGGCCGCTTTCCCTTATCCACCACGTCAATGAGCCAAGAATATACCCGCAGTGCATCTTCCACCACGCCACTTTCTGTTGGTCTTACTCGAGTGGAGTCACCATACCCTACATCAACACGATATTATTAAATACAACACTAAATTAAAATTAACAAAGTATCTTATTTAGTAGGTAATATGTTCTGCCTTTTGTGCCCTGTCCTACCGAAACATCTTATTCTTTCCCAACCATAATTTTGTCCTCTTTTAAAGAGCTGGTTGGTCCAATAGCTATAAAGAATCAGTGTGTTCGATTCCCATCGTGTGCAATATGTTTGCCCTATCATTGATTTTTTACAGATTAAAACGCGAAATATATTATTAAAATAAATTGTAACTAAGTGAAGTTTTTCGTTAAGAGAGTTTTATTTAAATATCACTATCTTTTATTTCTACACATGTTGGCCCTTGTTTGGAAAATCTGACTATTCTCTTAACTGGCTATAAAGTCACCTGGGCGTCTATAAATAGATGCTATAGGACTGGCGTAAACCTTTCATAAAGGGATGCTGCATATCGATCCTCTTATAAAAACATTCGTAACCTACTTGGTCCTTTATTTAAAAGTGAAATCCCGTTTTCCATTGTTGGACATGGGGCGAACACACTTCTGTGTCTGTTTCATTGATCGTTTTTTTACGAGCAAGTAGTTGATAAGACTTCTCTGCTTTGCCGAAACAATATACCCTGGTAATTCCTGGACCTTTCGCGCAAGCGCAATGCTAGGCAACACGTTTAACTATTTAGCTACAGAGGCGGTCATTATTCAATTAACTACCTCTATAATCAAAAGTAATGACATGGAAGTTTAGATCTTGAAAAACTTTGTACATTTGTAATCTGTGCGGAGAGCCACGATGGTTTGAGTTACCTGCGAAAAGCAGGTTTCAATCATAACATATGCAAATAAAATACTACTAAAAAAATCAACACCAAAGTACAAGTACCTATGAGGCTGCTAGAGGCAGAGTGGCCTCATAACGAAAGACATGATATTAAATAAGTAGGAAAAGAAACATGCGCAAGTAACTTAGGTGAAAATTAATTTGTACCAACTATTATTTGTGGAAAAATTGTTATCAATTTTCGGCCACGTGAATTTTGACTAAAAAATATAAATAACTCAAGTCATAAAATTGCAGTTAGGCTACACTGCCTCTAGAGCCTCATTTACATCTAAATATGACAGACATTCACTTACACATAGATTTATAGTTTTAAATATTTACCGTGACAGTACATAACAATAGTGTTTTGCGTGTTCTGAAGCTCGGTGTGTAGTCGTTCGCAAAGTGATTTTTCGGCGCTAGTAGACATTAATTCACGCAACACAGAACACGGTACGAGGTGCCATATTCCTGAAACATCATTTTCGTTTTCGGAAATAACATGAATAACAGATGTCACTAGCATAGCAGATCTCTTTTTTCGAGTCTCCTCCCCATGACCACGTCTATTGCTAATAATCGGTTCGATACCGATTTTTCGAAAACATATTGGACTTCGTCTGAAAATCTGGATATTGAATTGGTTTTAGGAATTCCGTCCAGGTCACTAACATCCGTCCAAAGATAAAATAGGTAGCACGCTTAATATTTAACTGTTTAAAAACTTTCATGATCACTTATCAAAATAATGACACAAGCGGGACGCCGCATACAATACTTATATAATACGCATACGCAAAAAGCTTGCGTATGCACTCCAAAAGGTTTTCAGGTTTTTTTTAATCACCTAGTTTTATCGGACAATTATCCACTCGAGAGTCGAACTGGATGCTAAAATTCCTGCCGCCCATCACGTTGCAGCTCTCCGGATTTTCAAAGTCTAAATTCTTCGGGTAATTTACTGGAAACATTTCGTTGCTATATGCACATGTACTTTCATAAATCTGTTAGGTTTTAAAAAGTTTTAGAGATTAAAAAAAAGGCAGTTAGTAATAAAAAAAGTTTAAATACTGTCTATAGTTTTCCGAGTAGTACACATTTACATAAAACACTTTTACGGTTCCAAACGCGATACGATTAGTTAAACTGATTTAAAAATCATTTTCAAATCAGTTTAACTAATATATCGCGTTTTAAACCGTTAAAGTGTTTTATTTAAATAAAAAAGTTTGTTTTTTTAATTTATCGTTTAAATATTGATTAACATCATAATTACCCTTTCCAAGCAGTTTTTATTTTACATTCGATTTAACTTTATTTATTGACACGTCACAGGGGAATTTATTTAATTAACATTAAAGATATTAAAAATATTTTTATGTATTGCATCCGTGGTCTCTTACTTACTGCAATTGGAAAAAACCATCTTCCGCTGAACTGTCTTGCTGTATCTGAACATGAGTGGCAACACAGCCACTTGCATAAATAAAACGCTCGCAGTGAGCGATGCACCGGTCAATAATAACGCGCTAAGTAATAAAACAATATTATTATAGCCACACAGGTCGGGAGTTTGTTTTAAATATACTATCTGACAAATTCTCCCCAGTAAAATTTTAATGACTCAACCAAGAGTAGATTAAGTTATTTTTGAGTCAGAAGTAGGACCTGTCAAATATAATACTAAATAAATATATTATAAGAACAATAACTATATATACCTAAGACGAAACCAACTACATTCTTTAGAATGATGTTATTACCACCAAATTCATAAGGTATGCAACTTACCCGAAAACCATTGTGTTATTTTTACTTTTATAAGTACATTTTATATTTTTTTAAATATTTTGTTATATGATTACTATAATAAAATTATATATACATAATTTTTTTATGTTATTGATTACTCTGGCAGGTAGTCATTTTTGTTAGAGCTATTTAATGACAGCAGATGCTCTATGGAAACACTAAACTTTTTATAAAACGTCAAAATTTATCTCAATATCTCATTTCAATATAACTTATTTTTCAGATTTAAAAAAAAAGGGCAAGACTCAATTACTACCAAAGCCTTTAGTGTTGTTACTCCACTAAATAAGCTACCATCTCATACGTAATCGTATTCTGAAATATTTAATTATAAATAATTATTATTTGTATAATTATACTGATTTTTTATAAGGTATACCAATAAAACTCCAAACATTAATCACTTTTTATTCCTTAATAAAGTACAAAAAATAAATAGCGCATATTTTGTAAAGAGCTTGTACTCTCGTTGCAGCCGCATTGTCCTAATTAGCAAACTGTCGTTATAAAAACTACAAACCTCTTCGTTCTAAAATGAACATCTTTATATAAGATAGAGGAGGACAGACAAGCAGGAGATTCACTCGTTGAAATGTAAAATTAGGCCATAATAAACGAGACGCGCCGTCGACCTATTTTGGCTTTGGATATTCGGAAATCGACTGACTGAAACCGAAACGCGATTAAAATTTCAAGGCTCTATTATTCATGGTTTACGACGTCATTATTTCCGATATTATTACCACACAAATATTTCAGACGAAGTCCAACATCTTTCAGATAATGTATGAATCGATAAGAAACATTTTTGGACTTGGTGGGATCAAACCATTTGATTATATGCCCTAATACATTACAGATCGACCAGCCAGTCTACTAAATATGTACGATAGAAAAATAATTGAGGTAATGAATTACGTATGAAAAATAAAAAACCCCAATGTCTTAAAAATCTATTTACACCGCGTCACCTATCCGTATCAACCGTTACGAATATTTGCTAATTAGGACTGTTAAAAGCATAAGCTTATAAAGCGAATTGTACCCGCGAACCGAATTTTCTACTTGATCCTAGCGATGGTTGGAAATGAAGTCTCTGAAAAAATATAGAATTTATTATTACATATCAAGTTATGTAGTTTTAATATAAATAAATTGTGTATCTATTCCAACACCTGGGCTACATATTGATATTAAAAGAACAAAAAACATTTTCTGTTTTACAAAACGAGTTACTAACTCGCTAAGTGTTGCTTCCTTCTTTTTTACATTTTGTCTTTTTTTCAAGACCGTAATAAAATTAATATACTAAAGAAAATATTTGATTTTGAGTAGTTTTAAACAATATTAATTAAATTATATTAAAAGTAATCATCATTCCATATTTACTATAATAAATTGAAATAGAACATATTTATATCCAATTTCAGACATTCTTATTATTATATGATAAATAATGAATACCCATTTTTCCAAGTGGGGCACGGGACGAACACATTTCTGTGACACTGATTTGTTTCACAGCCAAGTTGTTGATCAGACTTATGTGCCCTGCCTTACAGACACAGTCTATTGTGCCCCTGGGATTCGAACCCATTCGCGCTTAGTGCTAACGTTTAACCATTTAGTCTCAGAGGCCTTCTAATAAATATAAAAAAACTCACCCAACTACTTGAGGTAAATCCTCCGCGTTACATATAAATTTATGTCCTAAGCTCGCTTGTGTTTCATACGAATGAAGTTTCAATTTTGAACTGTCATTATCTCTTGATTCTAGTATCGAATTGTATAGCTGAGAACAAATATATAGTTAAACACTATCTGTAGTTTACGCGAGTAGTACACATTTAAATAAAACACTTAAAACGGTTTAAAACGCGATATTCATTAGTTAAACTTATTTAGAAAATGATTCTTACGAGCGACGGTCCGATGTTTCGGATTCTAAGCAGCTGGCAGCAAGGGGGGAACAGGGCTGCTGCGCGTTTTACACCGTTAAAACTTATGCTTTGAAGTTATGTAACTTTGAGGTTATTAATGTACTTAATAAAACTGAGGAAAGTTCGTTAGAAACAAGATGAAGATATCCTGAATTCGTGTCTTGTGGAGGCATTTCTATGTGTTTTAGTTACAGAAGTCAATTAAATGATTATTAACTTTCGTATCTACTTTTTGACCAGTTTAATCATAAGGAGATAAATAAAATGTAAAATACATAAAAAGATAAATTAATTCTTTAAGCAACAGAGCTATAATGGTCGGTTGGTTGGTTCGAGGCCTGTGTGTGTTCAAATGTAATTTTTCCAGGATTAAAGAAACTAAGGTTGAATATGTGTTTTATCAACATTAAATAAGTATGACAAACTGTAATCCGGACGCCTCGATAATCCGAAAACGTTCTTGTCTCTCCGGATTAACGAGGCCTACTATTTTTGAAGTACTGACCTTAACACCAACAACATGAGGTATAATTACGTCGTCCTTAGCGTGCAATATCATTACTGGCAAATCCTTCACTTTCGCCAAGTGTGTGTCTGACTTGAAGCAATAGTCTTCGTTGGATTTGAACGGAGATACGAATGTGTTGTCGAAGTATGGTAACCATCTTACTAGCTGTAAAGGAAAATCATTTATATTTAAGCTTTCTTGAATATATTTCTATATAGGTAAGAGAAATAGGGATCAAATTCAAAACAGAAAAACCTTGCAAGAATATTCAACAATGGAAATATATTTGCTTACAAATTTCAGGCACCTAGAGACAGAGTGGCCTAATAAAAAAAAACACATGATTTTCAATAAGGAGGAATTAGGCACTTAACTTAGGTGAAAATGAATTTTACTTTTACAAGGTTGTTAACATTTTTAGACCATAAAAATGTAAGTCACGTCATAAAATTATAGTTAGGCTACTCTGGCTCTAGGGGTCTTATGTAACTTAAGTACTATTTGTGGTTTACGTGAGTAGTACACATTTAAATAAAACACTTTTAACGATCTAAAACATGAAATGTAACCCCGTGACAGTAGACCGACGTCATGGGTAACAGCTTAAACTTATGAAGATGAAGAGTTTTGTAAAAACAAATTTGGATACCCAAAATAACTATAATCATGTATAAGTTTTTATACCGAAGTTAGTGGATGGTGTGTGACAGCATCGGCCAAATTGCTGAACGGTGCCTCCAGTATTAGTCCGTTGGCTTGGGGCAACGGCTGCTGGCGGTCCAGAACCGTCTGAGAGAGTTCTGGAAGGTTCCCAACGAGGTGGGACGAGATGCCCGTACCTGTAAAATAGTTTGAGTCAAAGTGAAAAATCATTTATTCGCGTAGGTAACTAGGTACACTTATAAACGTCAACAGTTAAAAACTAAATTTCCATGTAGAGCAAACGGAAGAAGGATTCGAAAATATTTGTGGACATTCTTCTGTACCCTGTGCGAAGAAACAATCTATTGTTTCCGCGGGATCCGAACCCAGGACCTCCTTCTTAACGCTTAACGGAATAGGCACACGTTCATCCATTTAGCTACAGAGGTAGTTCGCTAGTAGTTACTTTATATACATTTATTTTTGTCTCATTATAATTTTTAATCAAATTACCTAAAGAATGACCCCAAATGAAAATAGGCGGTCTGTCTTTACTATTCGTAATAGCATTGTTAATCCAATCGTACACGTTGAGGGAATCTTCAACTACCCCCCTTTCCGTTGGGATAATACTTGTTGAGTCGCCATAGCCTGAAACATAGATAGTAAAAACAATTATATTTCTATTATAAACATAACCTTGTTGTGATTTAAAATTTTCAAACGCGATTATAGTAAAACTTTTTTATTAAAAATCATTTCAAATAAGTAAATGAATCGCGTTTTAAACCGTTAAAATTTTTTTTTTTAAAATCCACAAAACATTTAAAAAATATAAAAATTCAAATTAGCATAACATATTGAACCTCAATACGTAAATGTTAAGGTTGAAATTACATTGGAAATCAATAGGATGTATGAGTCAATAGGTTGAAAAAATTCGACAATAACGTATAAGACGCTAGCTTCATTGGTTAGCCGTTAGAGCGACATTATGGGACGCTGTGGATGCCGGTTCAAGTCTTGCACGTGCTATAAAATATTTCAAGCCAAATTTTAAGTTTCAAAGGACGATTTTTAATTTATAATATGAGACAAACTGACAAAATGGCTTGGAAATAAATATACAACCCTGTTGTATTATTATATACCCTGTTTTATGTTACTGGGATGCAAAAAACCTGTGCCGTGGATTAAAGCAATCTTGTACATTGGAAGAAATGTAAAAAGAAAGGAAATAATTAACTTTACCTCGATAGTCGAACGCGATCGTGTGAAAGTCCATTTTTTGAAAGAATTTGTATAACAGTATTCTGTGCGATGCGGCACGCGAATTTGAATTGCCTGAAATTAGAAATATCTTTTTTATTTACTATCGTTAATGCAAGCGAGTTTACACACTATCTAACTATTGTAAGCATACAATTCACACATCCAATGGTTTGTGATCCGAACGAAATTTCGAGATGTTGGCTCTTAAATTAATCAGCTATTTAAATTAAACACTTTTAACGGTTTAAATTGATTTACAAAATTGTATTTAACTTTACAGTGATGCCGTGGTCAGGAAGGATTGAAATTGGAGGGTGTCCGGAATGTCAAAGTCAAATCCGCTACGCTAGCACCATCGATTTCGTTGTAACCGCAATAGTTTGAGTTTAAGTAATACACTATGCGTTTTAAAACGATGAAAGTGCTTTAATTCTTTTTACTACTCAACCATGCTACGGACTTATTTTTCGAAGATGCTGGAATGAAACCGTAATATTAGTGAAGAGATTTTTCCCTTTATTTTATTCCCCATTAATTTAAATGTATTATGTAAAAAAATCGATGTTCGCTTTAAACGTCACTAACGCTAACATTATACAATGTGAAGGTTAAGATTTTATGTGTTGAGTAATTAAAATTATTCACGACTTCGTTTTTGTGTCTACAAAATGTATTTATTGAAGATTGGAATACGTTATAACTTCTGGGCACAGGTTATCCCACGTATAGTTTGGACCCACCAGGCAACTTCTGTAGGGGTTGCCAGGCCATAAAATTACTAGGCAATCAGAGTTCCATACATTTAGTCTACAGTCGGCTTAAATTAAACTTATAATCAAAACTTACCATGACAGTAAAGTATAATGGGATGTTTGGAGTTAGTCAATTCATTTTCAAATTGTTTACGCAATTCATTGTTATCACTACTTCCAAAGCTTCCTTTAATCTTGTCGTATGAACTCTTTGCTAGAATATGCCAAATTCCTGCAAATATAAACAGAATATATGTATGTAGGTATAGTGTATTTTTTCTAAGTTGATATTTTTTATCAACAAACACACAATCTACATGAAATCGTGATTTTTCGACAAGGTTAATCGCTGAAAAGCGTTAAAAACGTTGAGTTAAATAATATTGACATAAAAATTATTGTCATTAAAGTTTTTTAATATTGAGGTTTGATCCATGTATAATCGATATTTCTTCATCTCTGTGTCATCTGTGGCAACAACTTTGATCTATAAAAGGTCATCACTATTTCTCTATGTTGTTTTAAATCGTTAGTGTTGTTTGAAATTGACATTTTTGTTGTGGCCTTGTGTTATTGGATAAAGAGTGGTTAACTTAAGAGCGGCTAATGCACGAAAGGCAAAATCATATTTTCATTTAAAAAATAATCTATACTAATATATAAAGCTGAGTTTTTTTTTGTATGTGTGAACGCGCCAATCTCAGGAACTACGGGTTCGAAATGAAAATGTTTTTGTGTTGGTTAGGCCATTTATCGTTTAATGTTTTCATTTAATAAATATTTGCTGTCTATTGAACTGAAAGCTTGCATCTACCTTCCTGTTATGTTTTTTTAAAACTGTTTTTTTTACTATTCACTTATATCTTTCGGTAATTGATAAACAAGGAAGGAAAGTCGCGTATATTAACATAAAATTTAAAGCACGTTTACGCTTAAAATACTATTGGAAATATTATTATGAATTCTGTTCATATCGCTTTATCGTGAATTTCATCTCATTATAATGATTATCACGGCGAGTGTGCGTCATACATTTAGAATACGAATAATAATCAAAACGAAACTAGTTTTTTGTGTTCACCCATTCACTACATGTTATCGTTAACTCGTTGCTAACTACAACACTGTAATTTTAATATTTACTAGCTGTGGTTCTAGATCATGTTACCCTAAATATTTTTATAGAGCTTTCCCTGGTCTGCCTGATTGTAAATATTTATTTTATTTCCCCAAAAATTCACCCGTATGTTGAAAGATGATCAAACTTCAATTATTGAGCCACAGTATGTTAAAATTTTCAATGGTTAAATTTTATCCATCCGTTGTCAGACAAGTATACAAACAAAATAAACTCAACAATATAGTATGTAATATTTTACATATTGTCACAACAACCATTCACAGATGAAAAAGCTGTAATATTTAATCAAGTTTTGGTTTCAGTCTGTAGATTTGTAAATATCTGTCAACAAAGATAGCCTAACGTCAGAATCTAGTTACAATGGCTGTACAATTCACCTTCCATCAGGTGAACTAATGCTTGTTGGTCCTCCTCTATCATAAGAACACTTAGTCCTAATTTTAACATGCAATATATAATTATGTAAATATTGGAACATACCAAGTTGTATTGGGCAATTGTCCACCTTGGAATTGTAATTAATGGTGATATTTAAAGCTCCTTCAATACCGCAAGAAACTGGATCTTCGTAGTTGTGACAGGGCCATTGTGCTGAAATAAATAAATAATTAATACATAAAAATAAAGTACATATTTAGTACTTTGGCAAAACAAGTGAATCTCAAACATGAAACTATCACTTGTTATGGTGTGTGTGTGTGTGTAGAGTGGGTTTTTAAATTCTTTTTTTTTAACAAAAGCCCCCCCCCCCCAAAAATTCCCCACCCTTTTTTTTTTTTAAAATGTAGTCAGAAGGCTTGTTAGCATGGATAACAGTTATAACTTTTAAATTTGTAGGAAAAAAAATAAAAACGGATTTAGTATGAAATACATACCGAAATTTGCAAATATCATATTACGCTGAACTGTCTTTGAATACTTGAAGATTAAAGGTGCTACCGCTACGTGGAGTACAAAAATTCCTGCAGTTATTGAAGCACCAAGAAAGAACGCCCTGTAATAACAAATTTTCATTCATTGAATCTATTATTCCAATAGTTTATACTATTCTTTGCTGACGGAATATTACAATAATACAGCAAGAGCGAATTTATCTGGATTTATTTGTATAGGTAAAGCAATGCATTTATCAGAACAAGCGGTAATTATGGTAATAATTATAAAAAACTTACGCAATCATATACAAAGGTACACACACCAACAGCAGTTGCATATTGACTTAAAAAAATAGTGATTAAAATATAGGAAAGAAACTCGTGGAATTATTGTGCAAGACTTAAAGAAGTAAAACCAAAACTACATTAATGAGTTAGGTATATCTACGCACAGTGACGGTTACGTTTATCTTAATACTTTGAGATTTATTTAATAAACTGTGAAATAATACAAAATAGACAACTGCTAAGTACGACGACAATAAACTAACATTTTTTCATTATAGAGGCCGTTTATTATAACTTTTAAATTATACGATCATAATCTCCATATCACTTGTAATAATAAAATTAATGTATGCCACAAAGAGGGAAAAAACTACTCAAAATTTAATTTAATTTCCCGGTTGTACCCCAGGCTGACCGTTGACCGGCTCTGTCTACGTCAGTCTACAATCTGTCAGTCATCGTCACAGATTATCAACGTGCTACAGTATACACAAGTATCATGTCAAAACCTGACAACAGTCAAAATGATAATTATGCTGACTATTTGCTTCTCTTCTACACAGACTATTTTACTTATAGTCATAGAATATAATAATGCTTAATTACTTAAAATCTATCTAAACTAATATATAAAGCTGAAGAGTTTGTTTGTTTGTCTGAACTGTCAATCTCAGGAACTACTGGTTCGAATTTAAAAACCTTTTTGTATTGGTTAGAGCATTTATCGAGTAAAGTTTTAATGATGCGAAAGGAGTCTTGAAAAAATAAATTTGTATGGCCGAAATTACTATTCGACGCCAGGTAGTAGTAAAACATGAATCGATAAAAGAAAAGTAGTTAGTAAAAGCTGATCCTTAAAAGGCTATAGTTTTGATTGGAATAAACAAATACATATTTATAAAACTATTTATTTTATCTTCAAAAAAATAATTATACAGATATCGCTTTAATATTTCAAGCTAATAACATGTATTTAGTTTTTAAATAAATTGTAACTACGACTATTTATATGATTATTGAAAATACATCGAAATGAGACAGGTGACCTAACCTATTAAAATTGTACCAATATATAATTACGCATTTTTATCGTCTGTGGAATCAAAGATTCGTAGCTCGGGAGCAGTATATAAATTAATTTCTACTGTTTCTGATGTTATTATTTCATTTCTCATCTTTAAAGCTCTCATAATATGATAAATTTGTGGTGCATAGTAATGGTATTTGCCATATAAATGTCTATAGTTTGCAATGATACACCCAGTCAAACTCGTAACATAATCAATTTGTAAGATAACTGTAGTTTTTTTCGCATACATCAACATAGTCAGAACTTGTCCTGGCTCAATCGGTATAAATCCTGGCTTTTGAACTCCAAAATTGAAAGTAGTAAAATTGAAGTTTTCGTTACTATTTTTCTGCAAATGAAGTCTTTTTGCATTGCTATTTATATATAGATCGTAAAATATTAAACCTGGATAACCTTCGTCCAGACACGATGAGACTAAATTAACTTCTACTGTTTCAAATAACTTTATTTTCGCTTTAATAGTAAGGTTACTTTTATTTATGTGTCTTTTGGACTTAAGCGTAACGTTTTGATATACAATGTCATATATTTTTACTCTCTTTACCTTTGTCCGTCTGTTCACTTGCTTCCAGTGAAATTTTTTGTACAAATCACCATACGATGTTGGATCTCTGAAGAATATTCCGTCTGGTGCTTTGCCCAATTCAATTCTTATTCCACGTTTTATTGTGTCTTCTGTTGCGTTGAAAAGACTTACATCTTTTTCGGTACTTAGACGTTCATTACTGCCCGAATATTTGACACTAGAACTTTGTTTCGACGAAGAAATATTCACAGTGATCTCTATTTCTCCATTAATTGATTTTATGCAAAGAAAAAGTACTACAATAGCAGAAAAAACTTGGAGTGCCTTTCTATATAGCATTATTAAACTAATAATAATTCTACGCAATATTACAACTGGCTGACTCTTTCAAACAAACAAGTGTCTTATTCACTTTGGATAATATAATGAGATTATATTTTATATAAATAACATAGCAAGTACTTCTAGATCATTACACAATCATAACACTTCCTTAGCTAAAATGATTTTATATTATAGTTATTAATTCGATGAAAATACACACTTATCAATTTATAGAAAACCGCCGAAACCCAAAGTTCGCTTCTGCTTATTTCTTAAATGAAAAATAATAACACGATTAAAAAATAGACATATAGAGACACAATAAATACATTATATATTACATAAAAAATATCGATATTGGATTGAAAAACAAACACGACAGGGGCAGGTCATGAACCACAGCCGCAGCGTTCCGCGCTGTTGTTCTAACGTAAGTACATTTTATACAATATAACCTATAAAATTTAGAAAAAAATGCACATTTTTGTGGAAATTAAACCTGCTTATACATTGTTAGACTCTGCTTTTTAAAAAAATATTTAACTTCAGTCAGTATACAATATCTCATAGTGAACGTAACATACTGGTCTCGGCAATTTTTTTTTAAATATAATTTCTTTTTTCAATTTAGTTTTATTTTTTTTTTAACTTAATTTTTAAGTTTTCGTATGATAGCGCAATGAAGTGAAGTTGACCATTAAAACGATAGGTAGTACTTTTATAATTATTACAAGGGCACTATTTTGAATGTCACTCAAAGATGTAAAATGTACAGTCAAGATTAAAGTTTTTTTTTTCGCCAGGGTTTCCAGAGAAAAACTTTTTTTTTTTTAAAAAACCCCTTTTTTTTTTTTTTTTTTTTTTTTTTTTTTTTTCTTTTTAAGGGGGGGATTTTTTTTTTTTTTTTTTTTTTTTTTTTTTTTTTTTTTTCGCCCTCCCCCCCCCTTTTTTTTTTTTTTTTTTTTTTTTTTTTTTTTTTTTTTTTTTTTTTTTTTTTTTTTTTTTTTTTTTTTTTTTTTTTTTTTTTTTTTTTTTTTTTTTTTTTTTTTTTTTTTTTTTTTTTTTTTTCTTCGGTCCGACGTTTCAAATAAGTTTAACTTATATATCGCGTTTTAAACCGTTAAAGTGTTTTATTTAAATGTGTACTACTCGCGTAAACTATAGACAGTGTGTGAACGTTGTATATAAAAACCTTCCTCTTGAATCACTCTATCTATTTAAAAATGCATCAAAATGCGTTGCGTAGTTTTAAATATTTAAGTGTACCTACAAAGGGACAGAAAAAGCGACTTTATTTTATACTATGTAGTGATATTGTGTGATACATAGTGTAGTTATTAATTTCCGTGTAGATAGATGTCTTTTATCTCATATTGTACGCCTAGGTCAAGTTTAATGATTGCGCACCAGAAGCTAAAATAAACTGGTAAATACCTACAATTCAAGTATTATGTCATGCCTTAAAGCCACACTGTATGTCCGCTTTTTCTAAAAACCGACAAAATATGCATAACCAACAAGAATGTGTACAATTTATTAAAAAAAGATTATGAATTCTTGGAAGCCGATTTATTATTTAAATAGATTATGATAACCCTAAAGATCAAACGCGTAGTTTTTACTTATAGTATTCAGTGAACAAACGAAAACTAACCGATATAAACGCATTTTTAAGATTTCAATGAAATATGATTTACAACATTTTCCTTTTAAGCCTTCTATTACCTTTGGTACAATCTAAGATCAACATCGATATTACTAGTAGTATTAACGTTAGTGATGTAAAAGTGAGTTATTCCGGATATGACATCCACGTAATCAAAGATTCAGAAATAAAGCTATTCAACATAAATCAACTGCAGATAAAAGAAGCGGTGAGGAGGTTTTACAAAGTGCGACCTCACAGTGTGTATCTGCGAAGCCCGACGCCGTGGCACGATCTATACAAAACGAATAACTGGGAACAGGTATCGAGGATACTATCAGTAAAGTCCGCAACCATCAAAATAAACGATAAACAAACGACGGTAGTACTGTCGCAAGATTTCGAGAATTATTCCAATACCAATGTTAAAGTGAACACAGCTTTGAGTCAAACAGTTGAAAATTCAGTGACAACAAGCTGGTCTTCGAGCCACGAATGGGGAGTGTCGCAAGAGATCCAATACGATGTGAATGTGATCTTTGCAAAACTAGCAGGCACCACTGCCTTTAGCTGGACATCTAACTGGGGTAAGAGTGAGGAGAAATCCGAAACGTTTACGATAGGTGCTACAAGCGCTATGGAAACTGAATTGAAGCCGGGACAAGCGGTGACCGCCATTTTAACAGGCAATAAGAGAGTGTTAGAAGTTGAAGTAGTGTACGCAGCGACGCTAAGGGGTAACGTGGCGGTGAATTTTAAAAAGCCGTTCAAAGGCCACCATTTCTACGGCCCTTCCATAATTGGCGTGATGAACACGGCTGGTCTGGATACAGAGAAAATCTACGTTGAGACAATCAAAGTCGGTGTCTATATTGATCATTCATTGAAAGTTTACGATAAAAAGACGGGGCTGCCATTGTAGATAATGTTTTATTGTTAAATATTAGGCGTTTTAAAATGTAACTTATAATTACCAGTACCTAGTTATTTTATTTGTTGTGTTAATGCAATATTTTTCTTTTTTCGCAGCAAGAGTATTTTTTCCGAAGCGAAAACATTATTCTATACTATTTAGATAAGCGGGGGGAGGGGTAATTTCACTGATTATAATATATATCTTGTCTACACAATGAATTATCGTTATAAATTTTAATAAATAATAAACAAATGATGCAAATTTCATAAACAGAATTAAAATTCTTTATTTGCAATATACATATAAAGGTGCAGATAAGGTGTCCCTAGGCCCCACACTGGGGCAATACTGTATCGTAGGTGACTATTCCCTTCCAAGTTTTGTACAATAAAGGACTTAAAACTTAACTTACTTAAAATACATATACAATTGATTACCAATAGTTGCCACTATACTGGAGTTGTAAAACTTGGAGATTGGTCTCGTTCGTTATCTAATTTCAGAACGGAATATTTTGTTATTTAAGTTTGTTTCCAATTTATTTTTTAATAAATGATTTTTATTTTAGTTTTTTTACAAACCCATTCCAAATTGCAGTTAAGGCATAGTAAATCAATTGTTTTGTTTTCTGAGTCAACGAAATACTTGTTCTTGAGTGTTTCCTAAGATGCATTTGAGAATACAACACCTGATCTCCATGTAACCGAAGCAGGTACATTGTGAAGCTCAATCAATCGCTTGATGAGTACGGAGACCACAATAATGTGATAACAATGAAAGTCGTGACGAAGTTGTTGTTTGTCGTCCTTGCTCTTAATTTACTATCGAAAGGCTTAAAATATTGTCCTTTCTGTAAAGTCTAAATAACGACACCTTAGTTAACGAAATTTTTCTAGGTCATTGAAAAAAGCAGGCTAAAGAGTTCGCTAACAAATACATATTAGATGAATGAATGAATGAAACAATATTAACGGTTTGAAACGGGACGTATAAGGGTGTTTAAACTAACTATTATGGTGGGTTGCGCTAGTCGGATACCTATATAAAAAAAAATAAGCGTTAAAACGGGAAATATTTGTTATTTGTTTTTAATTTATTTAAACTACGTTTGGTTTGGGATGCTTTGACGGGAGAGAGTACTTGGTGACGTTTTAACGTATAAACTTTTATTTCAATATAATCCTTACTAAAATTGTTAAACTAATAAATTGGAATATGAAAAATTTATTATGATTCCAGTTTGAATTATGAAGACAAGAAAGGGATTATATTTAAAAGAAGGTTTTAATTTTTAACCTTAAGTAGCCATATGTTGTAGTAGTAACTGAATATTATATGGCATACAGCGGACACATTTTATTATCATTTATCCGTTTCACTGATAAATTTTATAGCGTTGATTTGCTTTCTTAAACCTGCCGTCAGAATCTTACAGCCACGTAGACGGTCACTAAATAATGAAAAATTTTGAATACCACCAAATTTGGTGTAAGCTTCTTAAATCTTTCTGGGTCAGTTATCTTCGCCTGCTTTAACTCAATACGGACCGAGCTTAACCGATTGAAAACTGAAGATGTTTTTGACTTCGGCTCAGCTTCATATTATGTACGTTACAGTACGCTGCTTTAGAATGATGTTGTAACATTACTATGCTATGATATTTGAAAAATTCAATATTTAAGGCATTATATAAAGTAAAAACTATTTAGATTAGATGAGATATTAGAGAAGAAAAATGAATGACGCGGACTTAGGGACTTGAATCTTGTTCCTTAATTGGTTAGAGCAGCAACAAGAAACGCTGTGGATGCCGGTTCAAGTGTCGCAATTTTTTTAAAAATAAATAGTTTTTTAATTAATGCCATGATATACATATATTTATACTTACATATAGATATGGTAGGTAAGAATTCAGAAAATAAGATTCAATAGGTAATGGCAAGGTGATGGCATCGATCAATAATATTAATGTATATAAAGCTTATTTAAAATAAAAATCTTTCGCTACTGTAACTGTACCAAAAAATAAATAAAAAAAGGAAGTGCCTAGATTTTGGCCTAAATTCATCTAGCTGGATAGATATTCCTATATTGGTTATTACTGGTATACGATATTTGATAGCACCATCTTTCGAAGGTCGATAATAAAGATGCAATGTCAATCGTTAAATCCACAGTTCATAAACTTGCAGTGGGTTACATAATATGTATATTCAAATCGTATCATATCATTATAAATAGTATCGAATATAAAAAATATAGTACCAAATTATTTATTTTAAATTTCCCAATTATAAATGAGAGACCGTAGTAAAAGTTGTATGAAGTAATTATAAATAGATTCAATAGCGAGAGATAGCGAGCCAAGATCAATATGGAAAACAACCTTAAAATTATTAATCAACTAGCTGCGCCGGCGACTTCGTCCGCGAGAATCGTTATTTTGGGCATTCAAGTAAGTTTTTGCAAACCTCGTCATCATTATAAACTTAGCCGTTAGCTACAACGTCGAGCGCGTCCCTTCCCGTCGCGGACTTCTTTTTTTAGATCATTTGTAGGGGAATCATTATTTTGTACTAAATTTTTAGGTACCTTGAACCATTTTCGCAGCGTACGCATCTGAAACCTACAGCGATGAAAAATGTCCCCCGTTTTGTTCACATTTCTCGCTGTATCTTCACTTCTAATAGTTACTTCGCAGCGTGTTATAGCCTATAACCTACCTCGATAAATGCTCTAACCAACACAAAGAATTTTTCAATTCGAACCCGTACTTCCTGAGATTAGCGTGTTTAAACAAACAACCAAACAACTTCGCTTTTATATAGTACAGATTAATACAGCTTTTTTTAACATGTTACCAATAACTAGACAGAAACACCCTATTTACATCACCACTGGTGTCTTATACCCTGTCTGTGTTTAAAGAAATTGCTAAGTGTAACGTAAGTTTGGCCATGCAAATAGAATTTATTAATTTGGCACCCAATATAACAAAATCTGTCTTGCCCCACTGGAAATTATATCTACTGCACGATCACTATCGATTTTAACAATGCATTTAGATCAAGCATGTCATCACTAACAATTATATGATAAGCCACGCAATTTTAAACCTTAACTTTACAACAAACAATTTAGAATGCCTTGGTCTGAGCTCCCAACTATGTCGCTGGTAGGATGGAATAGCCGAATTGTATTCAGTATAAATAGGTGGAGAGATGGTGTTGATACCATTCGATTATCAACCTGTGAATCTTCAAGAACTCAACGAAGGTTCACCGAACATCATTGAAGTTTATTAAGGGTTTATTGTAGTAAAGATTTTCTATAGTAAACTGAGAAACTCGATAAATTAAATTTATATTCTGCAACTTAAAAAATACCATGAAAATGAAGGTAATTTCACATTTTTATTTAAAACAGCGGCTAATTTTAAATATATCGAACACACGAATTTACCGCTATAAAAAAAAAAACTGAATAACTGAAAACACAATATGTATCTTTATATCGTTTACTAAAATTTATTTCAATGTCTGTCTTTTCCAGATTCTTGTCGTTATTATTCTAATCGCAAATGCTTTTGCTGAACCTCCAGTTGGGTAAGTTTAAGTAAAATATAAGAAATAAGAATGTAAACAATAAATCATAATGTATAAATAATACCTTATAATGTAAATCAATGTTTTTTTTCAGAGATTCCTATTACCCCGATGCTCAGCAACAAAGTCTTTCACAAGAATATGGACCACCTGGTTTCACAAGAAGCCAAAATCAGTTATCTTCCCAATACGGACCACCACAGGCTCGATCAAATGAATATCTGCCTCCACAACGAAGTGTTTCCCAGGAATATGGAGTACCGACCCGAAGTTTCGATTCGTCTGTAATTTCGGATGGTTTTATACCAAATCAACAATATGGAGTGCCTTCAGCCCGTGGCTCAGTGGCAGATTACAAATTACCCACGCTGTCTCAAGAGTATGGTCTACCGTCCGGACGGTCAGATGGATTTGATCAAGAATACAGAATTGGAAGCACGGAAGCTCAAGGCTATGACGCCCCTATCTCTAAAATATCTTCAAGAAAATCCTTCCAAAAGCATGGACCTCCCGCGCGAATTGACACGTCCGTTCGTGACTTGTCCCGACAATATGGACTGCCAAAACCCAGATCCCAAAGCAATGCTAAATCTCAAATCGCAAAGAGCGCAGACTTAGCCGTTCCACAGGTTTTTAAGGCTCGAAGCTTCGCTCTCCAAGATTTCGATGTAACAAAATCCATTGACTCTCCATTGCCCTCTGATTCATATGGAGCTCCATTACAACGATCCTTTGGTGGTGTTTCATCAGAATATGGAGTACCACGTAGTCTAAATTCAATGAACACTGCATTCCGATCTCAAAGTGTTTCCCAAACGAATGGTCATCAGGGCATCGATCGCAGTATCGCAAAGAATGCTAGATTCGGTACAGAGTCTTATAGTACGGTTTCTCCCACATATGGCGCGCCAAGGTTATCTACCCAGTACGGTGTACCAAGCACTTCTAGGTCTGCCTTCCAGAAGCCGAGGGAATCGTATGGAGTACCAAATGAAAGATCTTTGAACGATGTAGCTAGATCTAAGACAAATGCGTTTACCAGGTAAGAATTCTATCAGATATAGTTTTTTATTATATCATCGTACTCCAATACATTTCTTCAACTCAATTTCAGTTCATCATATCTACCACCAGCCCGTAATGCGATGCCAGCCACAGAGTATGGAGTGCCTGATGTTAATGGTATTTTCGCTGGTCAAGGATATAGCTATTCCAGGAATGTTCTAGATGAACTTATCAACCAGGTAATGAGCCATGGTGGTCGAAATTGTTTAGTATTATTTGTTTTAGACAAAGTACACACTTTACTACGTATTTTATACATATTATAATATGAATACCTATTACAAATGATGTCATTGTTTATAGGAGCCAGCTAATTATGACTTCGGTTACAAAGTTAACGATGTCCACACCGGAAGTGATTTTGGCCACACTGAAACGAGACAAGAAAACAAGGCGGAAGGATCTTACTTTGTTGTTTTACCAGATGGAACCAAACAGGTGACGTAATTTCTCCTTTTGCAGGTTTTTAGGTTGTCAAATAAAATCTATAGCATCTAAACAAGATGCGCTCTCGATACAATTTGGCTTTGGATATTCGGAAATCCACAGACTGAAACCGAAACGTGATTAAACTTCACGGCTTTTTAATCTGTGAACGGTGGTTTGTGACCCGGACGGAATTTCAATATTCCAACCAAATTTAATATCCAGATTTCCAGACTAAGTCTAGCACGTTTCAGAAAAAATTAGAAACGTTACCTGGTGGGATGGATCCTATGAATCGTTGATTATTCGCCATATATTGCATTTTTATGAAAATCAGTGGCAGAAAGTATGAGAAATTAATACCCATATATTTATAGGTAGTTGAATACGAAGCGGATGACCAGGGATTCAGACCACGCATCTCCGTGGAAGCAGTGGAGACACAGGGTTATGATGAAAACGCTGCTGATCTGTCAAGATCAGGTCCCTACTGAAACCTAAGAAAACAGACATTTTTTAAGTTATATTGACGACGGCTCCAAGAAGATATTTGCTTTGTATTTTACTTGAAAATAGCAAAAGAATTAGTGTGTTAAAACTATATTGTTTGTTTTAAACACTGACGTAAATTCTTCTACAAATAAAATGATGTATATATAAAGGATTGATATGAAAATATGTTTTAATTTATTTATTGCAATATCAAAATGTAAAAAAAAATTAAGATAGTGATAATGATTAATGTGCCAATATATTTAAAAATATACTTGTATTTTTTTATTCAATTCATCCTCACAACGTTTGTCAGTTTCTAATTTATTTATTTTCTAGCATAAACATATAGAATTTTAGTTACTAGATCTACATACAACGAATACAAACTTCACATTTAATTATTTTTTGTACTATTCGTAATAACAAATTTAAATATGATAAAATTGTAACCAACTCCATTAGATAGCTGATATTAGTTATAATTACTTTATGAATATGTGGAACTAATATTTTTAATGAGGTACTCTATTTTCTTGAAAGTCTTCTTCAAAATTCTAAGATAAAATTTGACTACGTAAATAAAAAAAAAACTAAGAGTTTAAGCGACGAATATTTTATATAGAGTATATAATATACTTTTATTATAGTATCCATAAAAAGTTACTACTCACCTACTCTCTACATTTATTACAAGTCCACTTCTTATGAATTTCACACAAAAAATTCCGGTTGCAATGACGTTCAGTGAAGATTTTACTACCAAATTTTCGACAGGAATCAACCAGTACCAAGCACTTATTTTGTTTTTAAAACGTGTTATAAGTTGTGAATAATTAAAATTATAATTTTCTTCAATATTTTCTTAAGGCACAAAAGTATCGTTTTAATAATAAACTAAATAATTATAAAAACGATAATATTTGACACGTAAATTAAAAAACAGCATTGTAATAAACAATGATTGATAGTAGTCATAAATAGTAAAAAAAGTAAAAAAGCTTTTTATCACCAAATATATTTTACAAGATTTTACGTTCCGTTAACAATTTATCCATATTTGTCAAATGTTTATGCCAGGTCCGTATTTTGCGGTAAAAGCCTCCTCCAAAGTTCACGCTTCAACTCCGTTATATTTTGTAGCGCTTCGTTCCCAGAACACGCACAGTTTATTTATTCATTATTATATTATTTGATACGTTATTATTAGAGGTTTGTAAATTAAGAAAACCGGATCAAAATAAATAATGATTGTAATACAGAAGAAGAAGAAGAAGTAATAAAGTTTGTAAATCGATATGATTACAATGGATTTTTTGTCAGGCCATTTTCGGATTATAGGGTTCTGAGTGTAAGTATTTTAAACAAAATAATCTACCAAAAAATACCAAGTAGTAGTATTCATATGAGTTGAAGAAAATGAAATATTGTCCTAAACGGTAGTTATTCTAAGTTAAAAATGCTACAAAAAATCTCATTTTGACTTTGTCTCGGATACAGAAGTATTATTATTTTCTTAATAAACTTAAGAAGCTTCTCTTTTAGTATCGTATGTTGTGTGGAACACATATAAAAAGAAATAAATAAAATAAAATATACTTTATATTTAATAATACTATAAATACAAAAATAGCTCTGTCTGTCTGTTTGTCCGGCTTTAACTCCGAAATTACTGAACTGATTTAAATGAAATTTGGTAAACAGATATTTTAGAGCCTGAGAAAGAACATAGGCTTTTTAATGCCAAAAAAGGGTTGATAAGGCTTAAAAAAGAGGGTGAAAGTTTGTAAGGAAAGTTAAGGAATTCGATTGAGGCTAGAACAATGAAACTTTCTTTTTTGGCTTTTTTGGTGAGTGGGTGGGCGTGGCTTGGAGAGGGAGTGGAAGTAAGTGTAGGTAGACTGGGAGTTGGAGTGGGATTGATGTGAGGTGAGAGTGTTGCGGCAAAGTAGCACTTACCATAGATTGGCTGCCTGAAATGCACCCTTACATTAATTAAAAAAGTAACCTAAATAATTAAAAATTCTACACCTATTCTACAAATTCTCTATTCCATGCGGACGAAGTCGCGGACACAGCTAGTTCTCTATAAAACTATAAAAATGATTTAGATTCGAAAAAAAAAAATATGTTTGTCTGTCCATTCGTCGTGATTCTACAGTGTTTAAAAGAACGAAGAGAAGAAGAACGCCCCAAGAAACTGAGTCTGGCCTTTTTCAACATGTCAAATATATTTTGTGAATTTATTAACCTAAGAAGCAAAAAGGAAACATTTATAACACCGCGCAAGATTTATTTTTAACTATGACAATTTCGATCACGGGGGGAACTGATATACCTATTTGGATTCTTAGCTTGTTAAAAGTGGTTCAAACGAAGCTCTTATTTGCCCAAACGCACATGTTAAGACACTGCTTATAAAATTTGTAAAGATTAATAAATAATAATTTTTTTTGGCAAGTTTTTAAGATTTGTAAAAATAGACAACGCAATTACAATCTGAGAATGTTATTATGTGACTAAATAATCTACTATACACATTTGGAGTGAGGTCGTCACAGAGGAAGGCGAAATTCACGACTTGCCATTGAAGATGCACCCTAGCCAAGCACAGAAATGTCCATAGAGTAGAAGTGTATATTTTCGTAAGTTTTGGACCTCACGCGATGTGAACGGCATCTATCGACTGAAACATATGTTACATAATATATGCTGCTAGCAATGTAAACAGTATACTTTGTATTTTAATAACGGACACGCTTGGTATAAAAATATACTTAAATTTATCTTTCTACTAATTAAAAAGCTAAGAAAGAATTGAAAAGCTCTAATAACGTGACACATTGCAATTACCTACTTGCGACTTATTGATAAATTTTGGTATTTAAAAAAATATGAGATTGTTATGTGTTCTGCTCGAATTTTAATCCACGAGAACAGCGTACCGTGCTCTCGCTTTGTAATTGTTATATCCTGTCTGTAATTATTGATTTTTCAACCCTTTTATCGCGCAAGGTTCGCTTCAGTTTGCGTTATATTGTTTAGATAAATTTATTTTTAACTTAATATAAAACCTCGAAATACTTTCGCATTGAAATTAAACAGTTTTAAAAGTTTAAAACTTCAAATGTATTAGTTAAATTTATTTACAAATATTTTTAACTGAGGCCTCACGTTTTCTTGGCCACCTCGTCTGCAAAGCATTCGAAACCTCGGCCCGTAGTTTTAATTTCGCGTTTAAAACCGTTAAAATTCTTTTATTTAAATGTGTATTACTCGCGTAAATACCATTTGCAGTGTTGTGACTGTAACATAAGATAATTTTGACAATTTAAATATCCTATATCTTATAAGCTTAAATGTCTTCACGGTCATATGACGGTATTCAATGCCTTGACGTCTCTATTATTGTTTGATGACATGTCATTTTTCAACCCCTACTCAATTGTTTGGTATAAAAGCTTCGACGACTACGATGTAACATCATCATTGTGTTACAACTTGCATCATGAAGGTAAGATTTGATTTTGTATGCATGAAAAGTAAAAAATTTTTTTTAAATATCATAGTATAACTTATTTTTAACATAAGATTAACGACTTGAAATAATAAGCAAAAAAAATCATTTCCAATTTACTAAATCATAGATTGTGTTAATTTTTTTGAAGTTTTTTGTTGTTGTTTGTATTTACAATAAGCCAAGTGTAGTGGAAAAAATCTAGGAATAACTTTATCTCTTCTTCATTTACTAGCTGTGTCGGCGACTTTGTCCGCGTAGAACAATTGTTTTAAACCTCTACGTGCCCACGACATCGGTCGCGTCCGGGGCTTGCGACCCGTCGTTCGGGGCCCGTCGTTCGTGCAACCTCATCTTAAAAGATAGACATATAGTGTTACAGACATTTTTTCAGAATATTTAAAGAAGAATCATTATTTCATACATATTTTTTGGGTGTCTTGAACTGTTTTCGCAGCGTACGCATCAGAAACCCATAGACATGAAAATTTTCCCCCGTTTTGTCCTGTTTTACATGTAAATAATATTGTTTTCAGACTGTTCTAATCTTATCTGTTGTTGCTGTCGTCGTTTCAGCAGAAGCGCCTCTTTCTAAAAGGTATCCTATTATCTATTTCCTGAAATTTTCACGTACCAGTACCTCGTTCTCAAATAATCTTACTACTTCATATATTTTACATGTTTGCATTAATTCAAGAAATAAAAACACCCAACTTAACTTGTTTCTATCTTTTAGATTAAAAAGGGGATTACAAAAGATATAGTCGATTTCTATTTGTAAGTCAATAAGCTGAGGCCAGCGTTCATTAAAATCCCTATTACGTTTCAGTTACCTGCCCCCACCTCCAGGAGGTCGCGTTGGTTACAATCAAGCAGCACTATCGGGCCCCGCTTTTCAACCCGGGTCTGCTCCACAAATTATTGCAGCTAGAAACTTGGACATCCCAGGAGTAACTAATGGGTTTGAAAGGTATTTAAGCTTAACTTTTTGACATTGAGAACTGGTTTACATAGTATTGTTGCTGTCTCCGTAGCTGGAGGTATAGTTTAATGCAATTAATAGTAGCAATTCCTGAACTTAAATCTAATACATGACGCTGCTAGAGGGGGGGGGGCCCCAAAAAAAAAAAAAAATTTTTTTTTAAGGGGGAAAAAAAAACCCCCCCCAAAAAGTGGGGGGGGTGTTTTTTTTTTTTTTTTTTTTTTTTTTTTTTTTTTTTTTTCTTCCCCCCCCCCCCTTTTTTTTTTTTTTTTTTTTTTTTCCCCTCTCTCAACTCACCTCCCCTTTTTTTTTTTTTTTTGTGGGGGGGGTTGGGGCCCCCCCCCTTTTTTTTTCCCCCCCCCCCCCTTTTTTTTTTTTTTCCCCCCCCCCCCCCCCCCCCTTTTTTTTTTTTTTTTTTTTTTTTTTTTTTTTTTTTCCCCCCCCCCCCCCCCCCCCCCCCCCCCCCCTTTCCCTTTTTTTTTTTTTTTTTTTTTTTTTTTTTTTTCCCCCCTCCTTCCTTTTTTTTTTTTTTGTATTAAGATAATAAAATGATAAATATGGGAACAATTTTAATGTTTCAATACAAAAAGTAAAAAACAAAACATTTTCTACAATGTAGTTTATAAATATTTTAGAAGCGGTTCCCATGGCCAAACAGTAGCCAGGTTCACTGCAAACCAAGAACATGGATATAATCCAGGTAGCCCTCTATCCAGAAATGGTTTGGAAGGAACAGGCGTAAGTATTTTAAACAGATTTGTACACGTACTTTTATATGTATATTCATGTAGGCCACATTGTCTTATATTATTTGGTTTAAAACGCGCGATATAATAATAAAATTTAGGCTGTTGTGCATACGAAACAGTTTTAAAATAATTCGTATTTTAAACCACTACGAGAGTTTAATTTTATGTGTACCCCAAGCGTAAAATAAAAAGTATTTCTAAATTGTAAAAATGTATGCTTTTATATTTTTTCGTACAAAATAAAAAAAAAACTTTTTATTTACTTAAACTTTAGGATTATGTATTATTTAACGGAACACTAATTTTGACAAATGTATTAGACTATTATAAGCGTATTACCTATGCCTAAGCTTGACTATGGTTATTTTCTGAAATAATTAATAGCATACTAAAAACACAAATTCTATAGGAACCAGCGAACTACAATTTTGGATACATGGTGAATGACGTCATTGAAGGAACGGATTTCGGCCATCGTGAGGAGCGTCAAGAGGAAATAGCACAAGGAGAATACCATGTTGTGTTGCCAGATGGCAGAAAACAGGTAATTTGAATTGGAAATGAATTTAATGCACCTACATTACAACACAAAATTATGATCAAACTAAGTAATTTATAAACACAGGAGTTTCAACATAAAAAGTTAATAATTTAAAATGACATAGGATACAGCTTGTACGGTATTTAGTATTCCGAATCCAGTTTGTTAAAAAAATATTGGTTTTTCGTTTGAATATGTGCATTCTAACTCTGTTTGAGTTGGAAATGTAAAGAAATGTATAATATAAACGAATATACATATGTATAATAAGGAACACATTTATTACAGACCGTAAGTTACAAGGCAGATGAACGCGGCTTTAAACCTCAAATTTCCTATAGAGAAACAGAAGATCTCAGCGGAGGTTACGATGCAAACGCCAACAGTCGTAGTCATGACAACGGCTTCAGCGGCCATGACAGCAGCTTCGGTAGCCATGGCAACGGATATAATGGTGGGAATGGTAACCATGGCAACGCTCGTAACGGTTACTAAGTTTTATTATAGCTTATCGTAAAAGCTTAATAAATTATAATTATCTTTGTCTTTTAGCTGCATATTTTATCTCGATATATTTTAGTCTTATTATTGTATGTTCGTTCATATTCATGTAAAACAAAATAAATCTATTTATAATAATTTATAATTATGGTTTTACTTTAAGTGGGGTTGAATTCAGCTCTATACAAGTTTTTTTAATTTTTGAAAATATTTTTTTCATTTTGGCTAACTGTTAGGTACAAGATTAGCTACTAGCTGTGTTCAAATTCGAACCAGTGGTTCCTAAGATTAGCGCGTTCAAACAAACCAACTCTTTAGCTTTATATAAATATAGTAAAGATATGCCAATTAAGTGTTGTTGACAAAACTATTTAATTAGATCATCGAATTCATAAAAATCACCTAATTGTGTACTTAATAATAGTGTGGTGTAATCCTGATATCTTTGACCTCTGTCTCACCATATGATTTGAAAAGAAGGTTCTCAACGCAATTGGTACATGATACATGTTTTTTATGGTTGTTTGCGTATTTCTTTGACCAGAAAAATCTTTTAGCTTAGAGAGCCTAAAAAAAATAGGGACGAATGTTGCTTTTTTTCACTACAATTTAAAGGCTTTTTTTAATATTTTTAAAATTTAATAGCTTAAATTAAGTAACAATCTGGTAAAAAGAAGTATAGAATAATAAAGCAAAAGTTTTATTTATAAAAAATACACAGGAGTAGATATGATGATGAAGCCGGGAGATAGTCGAAAGAACTCCTCAACGATTCACAGCAGCTAACCTGCGTTTGAGGTAGATATACAAACTACATATCATTTTTATTTTTGCGGACTAAATTTATTTTGATGGAGTTTGCTATTGAAAATTGGTTACTTTTTATTCCAAATTAAAAAAAAAAACAAGAATTAGCCTAGTAGTGAAAATTTTAAAACATCACGTGAACGGACAAACAGACGAACGGAACAATAGTGAGAACCTTGAAAATGAACACCAAATTCGCGCACATATAAGGCTAATTAGTTCTATCAAATATTTATTCTGTTCTATGTATTTGAATAATCGATCAATTGGAGTATAAAACGCAATAGATTCTGATCTATCCATCATTCCACGGTTCAGATCTCTAACAGCTGGAAAATGAAGGTAATTCTACATTTTAATTGATTTCTAATTCCATGTTATAGAGTACTATAATTTCATTCTTGCTGTTTCAGGTTCTACTAATAGTGGTAGCGTTAGGCTCGGTTTCAGCACGAGGGTCCGGACCTTATTTACCAAGTGGTTGGAGACCTGATGGCCCAGCTTTTGATCTACCCACAAAACAGGTACTTTAAATTGAGCTCAGCTGGTCATTTTGAATGAAGCCTTACTTCATTTTTTACCCCATTACTCCTTTGCCTGGTCATATGATATATCAATCATAGGTAAAAATGTGTATCATACATTACAAATTGCAGAGGCCTGAAAATCCATTTAGGGATCTTATTTTGCAAGGGTCAGAAGCGTCAGGATCTGACGCTCTTCGAGAATATGGCCCTCCAAAGCTATCTCAAGATTTAATTCAACAATCTCTTCCTAATGAGATAATTGAACAAACTTTTGCTAGCCAACAACAATTCGACGTTGAAAAAAAAATAGAAAAACTGCAAGGTAATTAAAACCAACTATATTTACTACTAAACTATAGTGTATCCACTAGTTTATTACATTTTAAGTTAAAAAGATCATTGTCATTTACTTTTGAAAACTTATTTTTTTTGTTGTGAACATTATAAATATTTAGTTCCTTCAGAGTAATTTAGGTCGATTGAAATATATATAAATATTATTTAGACCAACCTCAAGTTACTACAGAAGAACAAGTTGAAACAACGACGTTAGAAGCTGAAAATCCCATAGTTACTTATCAAGATTATGTAACGGAAGCTCTGGCCTTTGAATATACAGGTGACATAACAGAAGCACCGTTAAGTCAAAACATCGAAAGTTCGGTAACTGTAGAAGATAAAAAACAGGAAATCGTAACACTACCTGAATTATTAAGCCCTAGTCTATCTTCTGTTGAAATAGAATTAGAACAGACTGTGCAACAACTTGTGCAGAACGTTGAGCAAGCTGTTGAAAAGGTAATAGAAGAAGAAGATGTTAGCATTGTTCAAAATAATGAAAAGGAAAGAATAAACCTAGAAACAAACGACAATGCTAAGATTAAAAGTGAAGATGAACATTTTATAAATAAAGGTATCAAACAGGATATTGAAAAATACGTTAAGAACGTAGAGAAGGAAGCTATAAATGCAGAACAGAGTAAAGAACAGATCGTACAAAACATACCAGATATCCTTAACAATGTGGATAACGAAATTACACAACAGGTAAATATCGATATAATTTTAAAACAAGTTCTTTTCCAGGTAGTATATATTTGGTTGATATTAGAAGATATTTCGATTACTATAAACATTGTTAAACCTTTTAGGTTGCAGGAAATAGCGACAAAAGCGAAACCAATATTTCAGTGCAAGAACTTTCTTGGTGAGTATATATTTTTATTTCATAATCATGCTGGTCCAGCAGCTCATCTTTTTTAGGTCATAGCTTGTTTTTATGAGATAACTCTGTAGAAATTCATGGCCTTATGATATAAATAATTTTGGTTAATCTAGAGAGATTAAATTAGCACATGCTGGACCAACGTGGTTCTATTAATTGTTTTGGAAAATACTAATGGAAAATACCAATGTCTATACTAATAATTTCAGGTCTTCAGGACAAGTACCAGAAGGTTTTCTTGAGTATGGTCCGCCCGGTTTTCAGGAGTACGGACCACCTAAAGAAAATTTAGCGATTGGTGCAATTGAAGTAACTATAATTATACTTTACTATTTTTGTGTTACTGTAAAAAAAACATATTTTTTTATTCAATTTATATAGGATTTATTTTTTCTTATTTTTTATTTTATTATTTTTCAGGAGCTACCTGATGCTGAGGCTATTCAAAGAATTAACGAAAGCAGACGACGACGCTTTTCACCAAAATTCGGTATTTTTGAACACAGATTATCCATACATAGAGTTTCTTCACACATAAAAAAAGTATGAAAGCCCGTTTCCCCCTCGTGGGGCATGGGGCGAACACATTTTTGTGTCCGTTTCATTTATCCGTAGCAAGGCGGGCAAGTAGTTGATCAGACTTCTGTGCCCTGCCTCTGACCGAAACAATTTTATGTTTCCTTGGGGATTCGAACCCAGGACCTCTCCGCGCTTAATGCAATGCTAGGCAATACGTTTAACCATTTGGCTACAGAAGCGGTTTATACATATTTATTAATAAATATTTTTTTTCAGGCCAGCAATAAAAACAAAATGCGGAAAGAAATGGGACACACACGAACCAACAGATTATTAGATCATTAAAAGCGTACATTATAGCCGACTTAATCATAAGATGTATGGATTATAAAATAAAAAAAAAATAAAATTTATAAAAAGTGTACATTGTAGGATATGTAATATGTATGTGAATTTATTTTGTGTAACAATAAAAACTTTAATGCAGATTGCCTATACTTTATTTTATGTAACAACTACTAATTACTAATTAGGTATACAAATAACATGATAATTCGTTTGAACTATTAACCATATCAAGTCAAAAACTTCGGTGTTTTCTAATCAAAATCCATCGCAATCAAAATTCAGCGTCGTAAAAACATGAGGCCAAAATTAAAACGTGTTTATCAAACGTAACATCTCCGTAAAACGTTGTTCGTCCTGAGGAGATAAAAAACATAATATAATAGTTACGATTATTTAAAAAAAACACTTTAAACGATTTAAAACGCGATAATTATTAGTTAAACTTATGTGAAAAGCAAAGCATTCGAAAGTACCAGCAACCAGTAAACCAGCCGAGTTAAAATTATTTTTAACTCGGCTGGACGTTTTAAATGCTTTGCAGCAGCCGTGGTCACGGGGAGCATCGTGTAAATAAACGCAACCCATATTAATAATAACAGCAAAGTAGGCAAAAGTCTAAAAAAATATCTCTTGAACTCATTAAGCTATAATTGCTCTTTTTGAAACTATCAATCAGATTTCAATGTTAGAAACATGAAAAATCCGTCAAGTTTAATCGCGTTTCTGTTTCAGCTTCAGTTTTCCGAATTTCCAAATCGAAAATAGGTCGACAGCTGATGCGGCTGAGGTATATCACCTAACATCAAGTGACTTGTCTGTTCTCCTCTAACATAAAAAATGTACTAAGTAAAGAGGCAATATATTTAAATAAATCATACAAAATCGAAATAGAGCAAAATAATCTATGTATTTAGATACAAAATTATCTCTTTATATTAGTTGATTGATATATTGTATAATTTGATTTTGTTAATCTAGTGGAGAGCGGTACTTACTAATCTTGGTTTTCTTTGGTTCTCAAGCTTCCTTTTCCGTTTTTCTGGATCGGCTGCGGAAGTGCTTTCCCGATATTCTGAAATTATTTGTATGGGCTTCGGTGTCGGGGCGCAAACACAACATTCATCGCCTAGGTACCTCTTATTTTTATCATAATTGGAATCGTAGTCAGCGATACTACTGACTTTTCCGCTTAAAAAAATATAATAAATTAGTGCTATTTTTGGAATATTAAAACTGTTTCCGATATTTTGTAGATAATCGATATTTAACTATTACTGTAAGCTACATAATACAGCAATATAGTGTAGTGGTTACTATACAAACCAAAACACATACAAATAGGTAATACTTACAAAAATATAGTTACAGCCAATACTATAAAAAGTAACATTTTCACGTCAGTAACAATGTTCTACAACAAGACACGGGCTCGTTCTGTTAAATAGGTCATTCTTTCCCGATATTTATGCCATTTCTACCCTTCATAATAATTACATGCTAATCTTATTCAAATTAAGTTATTATTATTGTAATACATTGTGATCCAAAATTAATGTAAATCGATCGATGATGTTGAATTGTAAAGCGTGGTTGCTTAACACTATTATTGGGTCCTAAATGGAAGACTTAGATTTAATTGCATTGAGCAATGACCATAAGATATTAACAAATAATTAATGTAAAAACCTCAAACAAAAGTTTATATAACTGCCATCTCGTGAAAAGCAATCGGACTAAAGTCACATCTAATTTATCTATGTAATTAAAGGCGAGATAAGAATTAACAAGGGTCGTAAGGCAATTTTTTATTACCTTAACTGCGTTTTTAAGTATAGTTTTAAATATATCTTGTGAAAGTGCGGAAACCTTTACATTTAATAATTTATTTTATAGAATTAAACGCGAAGAAGCTGTCAACTGTCAGTTGTCACTCAAGAGAACTAATTTACATTATGAGTCATATGTCAAAAATAATTTCAACAGTTCGGTTTGGTCCACTCATTTGTGTCGGTAATGTGTGTGGTTGTTTTATTTACGTTTTATTTAACTTCATTCGTATAGTTTATGAAATACATAATTACTTTAAATTAAAACATTCATTTTATAAACATTGGTTGTGTTCTTTAATATAACAATACTGGATTTAACGTGTTATAAAATATCCAATATTAATTGTTTATAGTATTGTGCCTTAAAGTTTGTGTTTTTAAAGCGATTTAAATTGATCTGCTGCTGTAATCAAAAAACGTAAGTACTCTTTAATGTTAAAAGTTAGCGACTGTAGTAAAAAGTTGTTCCGGCCGCAGTAAAATGTTTTTACCTTTTCTGATAAAGATTGCGAAATTCTTCTCTTCGCTAGTTGGCCTCCGTGCTTAATGCAAATATTAACATACAAGTACAACATATGACAAGTTCCTAGGATATATTTTATTGTCTGAAATATGCAAGGATATTTCACATAATAAAGTTTATATAGTTAAGTATAAATTTATTACATTGTTTGTTCTGTCACAGTCAATGCTGGGAGCTATTTCAAATATGTAGGTCCTAGATTCTAGACAGTAAATCCGTGTAATTTAGATATATATCTATAATACATTTTTCTTATATTGTCATAAGTCTTTTTGTTATTTCACATATAAGATATAAACCACTTCTTAATTATTTTTGATTTATTTTAACAATGGGCCAAAAATTCATGACAGGGACAAACATTGGGCTATAGTTATAATAAATCAATTAGTACATTTCAAACGGACAAAAGTGTTTTATTTTGAGCATACTTCTATTAATTGTTCATTTTACTTTTTTACTAATTTAAAACAAATGTTGCATAAAACTTAGTGTAGAGAAAAACATAGCATCTGTATTTAAACGATGGATTGGTCATGATACAAGTCATTAATATTCATTGATGTTTTTACTTTCATTAGTTTCCTGTATTAAAGATTTCCTATCAAGTACCTAGTAAAAAATTATGATCGAAGTGAAGTGGAATTTTAATGTTCTAGTTTAAAGAATAGTCAATTTTGTGGTCCAGGCATAGAACCCTTAACTTATTGCTGTTAAAAAAAACATGAATCTGCTTTATTCTATACTAGTATTCTGCATGCTAGTATGAACTATGTCGGTCATGTGTACATTTACACAGTTCACATGTTAAGCCTAATTAGGATTAATGCTCCAAACACATGTTGTAAATGGGGCAATAGCTGATCATCTTTAATGTCTTTAATGGTAGTGTAATGTTTACTTGTACTCATAGTATTGTTAGTGTAATGTAATAAGATTTTTCAAAGAAATTGTGTGTTTAAAAGAGATAGTAAGAGTTGTATAACCAAAATATGTCCTCCGCAAAGGGGGTGTGGGCCCATGGATGAAATAGATTGATCACCTGGCCCTCTATCAGCGTTCCCAATTGAAAATAGTAATAATATTGTACCACCTCTGTGACTCAATGGTAACATAGAGAATCTCAGGTTGAATTATAATGTTGTTAAACACAAAAGTGGCCTGGTAAAAACATTTTTTCTATATCACAGAAAATGGGATTTGACTTTACTTGATTTGGACTGGTTTTCTTTCTAAACAGATTTTTCAATTATATCGCGTTTTAAACCGTTAAAGTGTTTTATCTAAATGTGTACTACTCGCGTAAACTATAGACAGTATTCAGATGTTTCAATTTTTAATCACCACAAACCATGTTCAAATGTTGAATCAATTTAATTGCCGAATGATATCATGTCTAGTCCTGCTTTATCAAATGACTTTAGCTCTTAATGAAAATGAATTAAGGACTATTGTAATATGAAATGTCTATAAAAAATGACTCAAAAGCTGGTAGGCGTTAGAAAGTTAAGTGCCATAGTATTTGATTTTATTAGTAAATACTGATAATGGGAACATTTAATTGATATGTAGGATTTTTTTGATATGTACTAGTAAAATAAATATTTTATTAAATATTAAGTAATGTTAAAATACACATTTTGCTACTTTCAAAGCCCTTATTTGCGATCCCGACACGTACTTATCCAATTTTTTAATTATACTAATCGACCGTTCTATGCATACTGCAGCTTAAGCTTAGCCGCTTAGCATAGTATATTATCGTGGCGTAATTAATTTTCAAATTAAACAGCCTTCCAGATCCCGAACAAATGTATTAAATGTCGTATTTTAATCGCGTATGTAGTACATATTTTTTTGAGCGCAAGATCATGCTATTTAGTTGTTCTTAGTATCATTTTATAATTGTTTTATTGATATAACTTTAGAACTAAAATAAACTCATATGAAATGTATTTCATAAAATTTTCTCTTTTGAATCCAATAAGATTCACATTTATTTTGTCGTCTGTACTTCCCAGATAACGGTACTTATTGACAAAAAGTTGTTGTCCCAAATACGGTTTTGATCACAACGAAAGTTCACTGCCGCATTAAACGTATATGTACTCTGCAATTATTGTTAACTTACCTACTTAATGAAGATTGTGAAATATGAGTAACACATATATATACAGCTTCCCATAGATACACTGAAATTTAAAATTAATCTATTTCGTTTAAAGCTAGTTAAAACGATGCGGGTAGTTGTTACTGTACTGTAGGAACACCTACAGAGTATAGACGTTAATATCATGAGCTAATATGAAATGAAATGGATTATAGAACTATTACAGATAATATCAGAAACCTATTTGAATGCGTTCCATAGATTTATCATGTACTCCTATCATATATGCCAACGTTTATATGAATATGTAGGTATCATTAGCTCCTTTGCGCTCGCGAAGTCTGGAATAACTTTTTAGTCTGCGGCAGTGCCGCGGGAACGGTTTTCTGAGTATTAATGCAACTGTCTCAAATATCGCGAGAAAGAAATAAAGAAAATTTCAAAAAAATAATAATTTAATATTATGTTGTATGTTGA